AAGTAAATTTATCATGGCTGTTGAAAACAAAGTCAATATTTTAAAAATAGGCACAGGAGTGTTATCAGGGGACAAATTCCCGGGGACCACTTAGAATTCTGCCTTTCAAATAATTTTTTAAAAAGTAAAAGACTTCAACAGATGCCCATATTAATATGGGCATCACTAAGTTACAGCCTTTCTTTTTCTTATTTATATAATTAAGTCCATAAATTCACTTGCAGTCTTGCCTTTAACTGCATCCCCCACGGTTGCTTCATTATCCCTGAATACTTTAGTGCATATTCCCTGTAAGCAAGGTAAGTCTCCTACATATATAACCACAGACCAGACCCTCAAAATCAGGAAATTAATATTGATTCATTACTGTATCCAGACAAGAGAACTCAATCAAATTTTGCTGATTTACCTAATGTTCTTTATAACAAAAGATCCAATCCAGAGTCACATGTTGTATATGGTAGTTTTAGTTTCTTTCAAGCTGGTATGTTTCCAGCTTTCTCTGACTTTCACGATTGAAACTTTTGAAGATTACAGGCCAGTTATTTTGTAAAATGTCCATTACCGAGGGCTTATTTTATATTTTCTCATGATTAGAGATAGGTTATTCACCTTGGCATTAATATCTTAAAAGCTTTTTCTCATTCTATCTTATCACATAGTACATGATTTCTTCAGAATTTCTCCACTATTACTATTTTCTCTTTGTATTTAATAAGTATATTGTGATACTTTAAAACTATGCAAATAATTCTATTTCTCATTAAACTTTCAATTAATTAATTAATTAACATCACTTTTATTTGGTTATATCATTATTTATTTTTATTCTCAAGTTGCCCCAGATTTCATTAGTAAAAGTGCAACCAAATTGATTTCTTTGTCCTATTCACATATCTCCATCATTCTTCCAGATTTATCCTGTACTCGCCCTGCCCCAGTCCTGGAATCTTCTATTCTCTTAGGACCTGTGGTTATTTTTAGTGGGAAAGCCAAGACCTAGACATTAGATGTGCACTGAGATTAAGATATTATAGACTCTTTAAGTGAAAAAAGCTAGGTAATAGATTTGCGCACAAGCACGTACACAAACGTACACACACACACACACACACACACACACATACTGAAAACTGAATTTGTATCAATACATCTAATTCTAATCTAACACTACAAGAGTCATTCTAATTTTTCTCCCTGTTAAATATACAACTCCAATAGTAAGAAATTTGGCTCTCATTTTCCATACTTTTTTGTACTTATTCAACCGATATGTAACCAAACTGGCTTTTCTGCTGTCATCCCTTCACCTATGTATACTCCCTCCTTTCCTTGCTTGTTATCTGAGAAACTCTCCTATGATGACACTCTCCTCACATTATTTGGGTTCTGTAACCCTAACTGGAATTTTCTCAAGTGTATATTTCTTCCTTGCCTAACTCAGGTAATGATTGATTATGTTGGGCTGATTTTAAGATTTCCTCTTTGTCTGAATTTAAGCAATTTTACTATGATGAGCCTAAGTGTAGTTTTTAAAATATTTATTTTTCTATGGTTCATAGCACTTTTTGAATGTATGACTTTATATCTCTTATCAGCTCTGGCAGATTTTTTTCAGTATCTCTTCAGATATTGCCCCTACCCCATTATTCATGTCCTCTTCTTATTGAAAACCAAATGCATGTATCTTAGACCTTACCATACTGTCCCATTTATCTCTTACTCTCTTTTCTGTATTTTCCATCCCTTTTACTCTCCCTGCTTTATTCTGGGTATTTTCTTCTTACCTAAATTCTAATTCAATTATTCTCTTTTTAATTTTGTGAAATTTGCTATGTCCTTGATTTTTGTTATTTTATAATATAAATTTCTATTTAAATATTTTTATTGTTTAAATTTTTATTTTATAATATATCTTTATAATTTAATCTCTTGAGCCTATTAATCACAGTTATTTTTAACACATCTCTGATATATCCAATATGTGGATTCTCTCTAGGCATGTGTCTATGATCTATCATTTCTCTTGATTTTTGTCCAATTATTATCTTGTTGCATGTCTTTTTATTTTTGATTGCATAGTAGATGTTGTGTAAAGATACTTTGAGGCCCTGGATTATGTTACCTTCTTCCGGAGAATTTTTATTGTTGCTTCTGTCTGGCAGAGAAGCTAGGGGACATTCACCTTAATTTGATCAGAGAATAAGCTGGTTTAATGCTGGACTTCTGCCTTTGTAGAACTTCCCTGTTAATATTTTCTGCTGTAGCCTTTTAGCTGCCTCATACCAAATCTGTAGACCCTCCGCCTTGGTCAGCCCTGAATTCTCATTATTGTCTCCCTGGCCCTATGAGACTGGTTATAGTTCTACGCAGCTTCTTGGCCACAGCTTTGGATTAAGCAAATGACTTTTGGAGAAAAATAGTATTGAGTGTTGTGTTTTATCACTGTGAGAGTCTCTTTTCTCTGAAATTTTGGCTAGCTATCTTGGTAATTACTCCAAGCCTTGTTGTATTGTTTGTTTTTCTTTTTGGTTTTAGTGGGAGAGTTGGTTTGAAACAAGGTCAGTGACCATTAGTAGAAGTGAAAAAAATCAAATTATCTGGTTTTGAAGTAAATTACTTTAAATGAAAGGTTGGCAAGCTTTTTCTGCAAAGGGATAGATAATAAAATTTTAGACTTTGAGGGCTGCATGTTCTCTGTCACAACTACTCAACTGTGTTGTATAGTGTAAGAATAGCCATATTTAATACCTAAACTTATGAGCATGGCTGTATTTCAAAAAACTTTATGGAGAAAAACAAGTGGCAGACTGTAGTTTGCTAATCCCTTCTTTAAATGGATGAAGAACATAACTTTTTAAAAGTTGAGAGGATCTAGGAAAAAAAAATTATTTCCACAGCCATTGTTACTATTTTTAAAAATATTTGACTCCAGAGTAGGATCCTGAGCTCTGTAGGATGATATAAAGGAATGAAAATTTGTCATTCCTAGTCGATCTCAGAGGCTTATTAAAGAAACCAATTTTGTATAAACAAAAATTTATACAAAAAAAAATTACTGATTAATATAATACAGACTCAGTGCATAAGTGCTTAAAGACTGCTTGAGCAATTTAAGAGATTGAGAAAAACTCCACATTATTAGTATTACTTAGGTCTTCACTTATCCCTTCCATGATTACCTCAGCAAACAGATTTTATGATGGAATGGTAAAAGAGAGATCCCAGGGTACCTGTGTTGGGCAGGCCTTATGGCATAGCCACAGTAGGTCCCTGAGATTCTATGAAACAAGGTGAAGGTACTGGATATGCATTTATTTTGCCGATATTTATTAAGAACCCACTATGTACCACTGATAGAACTATGTATCTTACTATGTATCAGTGTGCAAAACAGAAAAATGGCTATTTCATGGAGCTTATGCATTTTAGCAGGGTGAGGCCATATACACATATATTTATAAAGAATCTATCCTATGGTAATGAGTTATGAAAAAATAAAGCAAGTGGAGAATCAGGAAGGCACTAGTGGAACAATGGTTTGAGAGATTGCTATTTAGGATAGGTTGGTCGGGAAAGGCCTCTCTGGTCAAAAGACTTAGCAGCTGACTCTAAGCAGGTTGCCAAATGAAGTGGGAAGGTAATTCATGGCAATAGATGAAGGAAGAACTTTGCAGGCAGAAGGAAATGTGAAGGCATTAGTTATGTGAGCATAGTAATGAATAGAGATTGTAATAGACACATTTCTGCTACATAATTTAGTGTACCACTAGCTCTGCAGAGAAGAGAAAAATGTTTAATAACAGAAGGAAAGAACATCTACTTTTGTCTACTGCTAACATATAGACATTTAAAAAATATTAATACTTTATTAAAAGGTTAGTCTTGAAACCAGTACTGTCAGTTACAAGATTCTTGAGCCATGAACCTTTTTATTCTTATGTAGTACATACCATAACCTAATGCAGTGACAGCAACACTTCCTTTCACTGCAAGCTGAAGTGATCCTCCATAATTAGAGTTCCTTGATTCATTCAGTGAGCTAATCCACCAGTGATTCTATGATCCTTAAGAAACACATGTGCCCACTATCCTGGAGCATTAAAGATTCAAGGGGCATCAGTCATATTTTAGTCAATTCAGTCTGCTGTGACAACATGCCATAGATTGAGTGGCTTAAACAACATTTATTTATCACAGTTCTGGCAGTGAGAAAGTTTAAGATTGAGATGTCAGCTGATTTGGGTCCTAGTGATAGTTCTTTTGTTCACAACTCTCTTCTTGTTGTATTTGCATATGGCAGAGAGAGAGAGAGAGAGAGAGAGAGAGAGCGCTCTGGTCCCTCCTCTTCTTATGAAGGCACTAACTTCTTCATCAGGGCTCCACTCTTAAGACCACATTTTATCATAATTACTTCCCAAAGGCCTCACCTCCAAGAGCCATCACAATGGGATTAGGGTTTCAAAGTACGAATTTTGGAGGTCACATTTAGTCCATAACAAGTTTTCCTCTTTCAGAAATGGGTATATTTAAGCTAGAAGTTTTAGATAGATATCAGGTTAATAGAAAGATAACAGAGATAGAAGTAGAGACATTAAAAAATCCAGGGGGTAAAAAGATATAGAAGTAGAGACATTAAAAAACCCATAATTAAATATAAAATATATTTAATTATATATATTTCAGCATGTAGTAGATACTCAATAAAATGTTTGCTTGTTATTAATTGAAAATAATGCCTGTCACACAAATATCACTATATTTATTACATACATAAGTACTTAGTAGTGTTTCTATTTTATTTCTATCCTTTATATATTTAAGAAATTATCATGATAGACTAAAATAAATTAATGGAAGATGAAGATAGGCTTATTAGTACATTGACAAAAAACAAACATTATCACTCAGAATATGTGCTATTTTTTTTTTCACTCTTGTATAAAATATTTTCTGCATTGTTAATGATTAACCTCTTATCTCTTGTCACTTTCTTTTAGGGCTTTTTTATCATGAATTGTCCAGACTTAACACCTTTGGCTTTTCAATTGATATATCTTAACTTATCATTTAATGATATCAGTTCCTTTCCCACAGAGGTAAGTTCATTCTTATTATTATATATAGGAATAATTTCTTATTATGAATAATAATTATAACAAAAATAGATGCATGATATGCTTGAGTTACTATAAAGTAAATATAAATAAGCCCAAAAGGCTTATTTTCAGAAATGACAAAAGTATCATGCATATTTCTTAGAAAGTCCTATGACATAATACTCAAAGATCGTGCTATAGTCAGGCTCTCAAATATGTCCTCATAATTGTACAATGTTTATAAAATTATTTATTCTTCTAACTGAATAAAACCTAAAATAAACCTTATCTACGTGTTAATCAGACGTTTTAAAAACAAAGTTTAGTGACTAGGTAATATGATGCTGTAACAGGTTTTAATTATTATAGGTTAAAATAGGATATTCTGCATAATAAAACATATCAGATAATCAGGCTTGGAATGAGCTAATTCAGAGTCATTTTAAATAAATGAGTCATTATGAGTACTTAGGATAGATTATGTTGTCAGTGTCTTTAGTCATTTCTTCATTGGTCACTGGGTAATTGGTTGTTTTGTGAATTGACTTCCTGAATGTTGAATTTTAGTGAATTGCTTTTTAGTAAATTGACTTACTTTCTATTTTAAACATATAATATTGAAAACATATCTTACATAATTTCTCTATAGTATTATGTTTTTATTTTCACTAGAAGAGTTACTTTTTATTTTCTAAAATATAACAACAGTTTTATCAATTTGACTAAGACAAATTGACAAGAATTCCAAAGGAATATAGATATCTTAGTTCTTCATGTTAATTTTAACTTTCTTCTAAATAGTTGTGATGAGGGTGTATATCTCCAAACATACCCTATCCACTAAAAAAGAATATATAAAGCAATTGCTGATAAGGGAGATCTTCAGATATAAAATTTTGAGTGCCCATTTTATTAAAGTGATAGAAATCAATAAAAATTGCCACTAAAATGTATATCTGTGTTGTATAGCTATAGATAAAATATTCCAACAAAGATAGTAATGTCCAGGCTTGGAAAGGCTGTACTGTGGGTAGGCTAATGATGCCTAGTTATCAATATAATGTAAATAAAATCAATAGAGGATCAGAGGTTGGCATAAGTGTGGTGATCAGAATTATTACAAGTTTCACGAAAACTCAAGATGATAGATTCAGGCAGAGGAGAATCTACTAAAATAGTTTATGACAGGAAAAGTTAGAAGCAAAAATGGTAAATAAAAAGGTTAATATAAAAACTCTGTAAATACATATTTTGGTCTTCTTTCTCTCAGCTTCTTTAAAAGACATAAATTGTATATAGTATTAATTATAATAATGTATTGTTAGGTCTGTAACATATATGGATGTAATACATATAACAATTATAGAGCAAAAAAAAGAAGAAGGAATAGAGGCATTTAGGCACATTTTCATATCTCACTGGAATTAAGTTAGTGTAAATATGAAGAAAATTCTTATAAATTAAGATATATATTACAACCCCTAAAGCAATCACTTAAGAAATTAATTTAAGAGAATATAGTGAAAAATTATTAAATTTAAATACTATACTAGCAAATATTCAGTTGATGCAAAAGAATGCAATAAAGGAGCAAATAAGACATAAGACATATAGAAAACTATATGTCTTATATGTAAAATGGAGGTGTAAATCCAACTTTGTCAATAATAACAATAAATATGAACACATCAAACAACCCAAAGACACAGATTGTCAGACTTAATATAAAAACAAGCCCCAATGATATGCTGTCTATAGAAGATACACTTAAGATAAAAAAATATAAAGAGGTCAAAGTTAATAGTATAAAAATACATATAATGCAAACAGCAACCATAAGAAAACTAGAGTGACTAGACTAATATCAGACAAAATGAATGTTAATACAGAAAGGTTACTACAGCTAAAGAGGGACATTTTGCAAAATTATCATGATAATATAACATATATATGTATATATCCTCAAGTATATGAAGCAAAAACTGAATGAATTAAAGGAAGAAATAGAAGATTCAGTACTAATAGTTGTGTACTTCAATACCCCCAATACAATAATGCATAGAACAATAAAGCAGAAAATCAAGAGAGAAATGGAAGACTTGAAAAACACTATAAAAGACATACACTTAACAGACGTCCATGGGAAACTCCAACAAATAGCACAAGAATACATAATTCTCAAATTCACATAAAGCATTTTCCAGGACATATGTTAGGCCACAAAATAAGTCCCAATATATCTAAAAGAAATGAAAATCACAGAAATATGTTTGGCTATAGTGGAATGTAATTAAAAATCAATAACTGAAAGAAATTTGAAAATGTATGGAAATTAAGCCACACACTTAAATAACCGATAATTCAATAAAGAAATCAGGACAAATTAGAAAATACTCTGAGATGAATAAAAATCAAAAGATAACATTCCAAAATTTATGAGATACATCTATAGCAGTTTCCAGAAGGAAATTTATAGCTATAAATGCCTACATTAAAAAAGAAAAATAGAGTGACATCAGAAGCATGATGGAGTGAGAGACATTCCCCGATCTCTCTCCTTGAAGCAACAATAAGCTGAACATCTAAAACTCAACAAAAAAACCCAAACTGCACACCCTCACATCTGAGTGTGGGACCCGCGCATAAGAGGTACCACAGGTCAGAACCCTGGGAGTTAGTCATCAGACTAGGAGAGACAAACAAGCCTCTCACAGCCTTAGCTCCATGAAAGGGGGAAAGAGGGGTGAGTTCCCCGAACAGCCCTGCCTGACAGAGCAGTGAGCTCTATGCAGTCAAATGGTCACTATTTAGGGATGACATGATTCTCCATATAGAAAAACCTAAAGAAATTTGTTAAAGAAATAGAACGAAAAAATTATCAGATTAGTATGGAAGCACAAAAGACCTCGAACTACCTAATCCATCCTGAGAAAAAGTAATGGGGCTGGAGGCATCACTCTGCTCAACTTCAAATTATATGGCGAAAGTGGCAGTAATCAAAACGGCATGATATTGGCAGAAAAACAGACACATGTACCAGTAGAACAGAATCGAGAGTCCAGAAATAAACTCATATTGATATGGGCAAGTAATTTTTGACAAAAAAGCCAAAAACATACAATGGAGAAAGAAGGAAAGCCTCTTCAATAAATGATGCTGGGAAAACTGGAAAGCCATCTGCAAAAGAATGAAACTAGACTGTTGTCTATCACCACACACCAAAATTAACTCAAAATGGATTAAGGTACCTGAATATAAGATCTGAAACAATAAAATGCATAGAAGAAAACATAGGAACTAAACTCAAAGACCTTGGACTTGAAGAGGATTTTATGAATCTGATCTCAAAGGCAAAGGAAGTAAAAGTGAAAATAAATGAATGAGTCTGCATCAAACTGAAAAAGTTCTGCACAGCAAAAGAAACCGTCAACAAGGTAAAGAGACAACCATCCGAATGGGAAAATATATTTGCAAGCAACACTTCTGATAAGGGCCTAATATCTAAAAACAAACCAAAACAAAACAAAACAAAACACCAAATTGCTCATACAACTCAATAACAACAGAAAAACAAATGATCCAATCAAAAATGGACAGAGGACCTGAACAGACACTTCTCCCTGGAGGACATACAAATGGCCAACAAACATATGAAAAGATGCTCAACATCGCTAGCTATTAGGGAAATGCCAATTAAAACCACAATGAGATACCTGTTAGAATAGCTGTAATCAACAGGACAAGTCATAACAAATGTTGGAGAGGATGCAAAGAAAAAGAAACTCTCATACGCTGCTGGTGGGACTGAAAATTGGTACAGCCGCTATGGAAAACAGTATGGAGGTTCCTCAAATAACTAAGAATTGACCTACCATATGATCCAGCAATTCTTCTACTGGGTATTTACCCCAAAGACTTGAAAACCCATATCCGAAAAGATATTTGCATACCAATGTTCATAGAAGCATCATCCACAGTGGCCAGGACAT